TGGTAAAAAAGGATCAGAGCTCAAATTCGATTTTGTGTTTTATTTAGGAATGGATGGAAGGTAAATGCCCAATTTTGTCTCACAAAGCAACAAACTCTCCTGGTTGAGTAAAACGCTATGAAAGCAGCATATTGGGATCCAATAAGACGCCTCTTAGGAGAAATGCAAGTGCGATATTACGAAGCTGTCGTAGTATCCATGGCGTCACCTAGAAAAGGCAGAAATAGTGCATGAACAGGCAAGGGGGTAATAAAAAGCAGAGGTCAGCATACCGAAATTCAGGAAAGCCTGTGTGTATGAAAGGGGTAAAAATCGAGCCGATTACTTTGTAGGCAAATATAAGCCCTCCCTGGAATATTAACTACAAATGACTGATACACGTCACATGGGGATGGAAGCAAACAGATACACATATACCAAATGGATGTAAATGCGGATTTTTTTGCGCCACATTGACGGACGAGAAGTTTGCGACACCTGTTAGCTGAACAAGGCTTCTGATTCTAGACCTGTAAGTTTCCTATCAAAATATGCAAGGGTATTTGTCTCAGGAGTTACTAAACCCACGTGTTAGAGACAGAAGCCGGCTTTGGCAGTGAAGATGCTCGTCGGTAACCTTCTACGTGCGTTCGTCGAATATGATGATGAAAACCACTACCCCGGGAGGCGGTACTGAATTGCTCTTGAAGTGTATTCTATCGACACTTGTGCAGCACCGGTCCAACTTTCACTTACACTATTGACACTCCGAGCCTCAGTCAGCACAAGTGGAGGCAGGCTTCGTCGCAATAGCCCACCTGGCATAATGCTCCGTCTACGTGTGTCAACACACGGTTCGTCCTTTACCCATCATTGAAACAGGCACCACAAGTAAATTTACTGGCTTTCTAGAGACGACTACCTATGGTTGGTATCGTTCGTCAATAGGGGCGGTTAGCAACGTTTGGCTCCTACGTCAAACAGTGTACCATGGCACCGCAGATGGGAACAAGGGCGGAGTGCGGAACGATGATGTGAGGGAATGAGAAATTAGTGCGACTGCCAGTTCACTCTAGTGGTTAGTCACCTCACAGATCGACCTGATGTAGTTCAAATGGCACAACACACGCATATCTCGGTTAAAACCTGAGAAAAGAACATCTTTTGGCTGGTATGGTCGAATTCAATACCAGATTAAGGCCCGACCTCCAAGTTATGGACAGAGAGAAAGAGGCACAGAAGGCGAGCATACCAGTAGGCTGGACAGCTGAAGCAATAGGTTCAGCAGACAGTTCGTTGAACATGAATTCTTGTTGATATTCCTTGAGGAAAAGTGTCGATCTTGCTTCGTCCATGAAAAGTGACGCCAATCCCAGTACAGACGCCTGCGAGAACTTCGGGCTGGTCATTAACACGCAGAAGACGGTGGTGATGCACCAACCGCCGCCCAACTCAGCCACAGCCCCCAACGCGCCGCCGCAAATCAGCGTGAACGGAAATCAACTGCAAGTGGTAGAGAACTTCCCGTATCTGGGCAGTACCCTCTCCCACAACACCAAGATTGATGACGAAGTAGCCAACAGGATCTCGAAAGCCAGTCAAGCCTTCGGTCGCCTCCACAGCACAGTTTGGAATCGTCATGGTCTCCAACTGAGCACAAAGCTGAAGATGTACAAGGCCGTCATCCTGCCGACGTTACTGTACGGAGCAGAGACATGGACGGTGTAAACGAGGCAGGCACGCCGACTGAACCACTTCCACCTCAGTTGTCTCCGTCGCATCCTGAGGCTGAACTGGCAGGATCGAATCCCCGACACGGAAGTACTGGCACGAACGGGAATCCTCAGCATCTACGCCATACTGAAACAAATGCAGCTGCGCTGGAGCGGCCACCTGGTGCGCATGGACGACGAGCGACTACCCAAACGACTCTTCTACGGAGACGTCGCGACGGGTTCTCGTCGTCAAGGAGGCCAAATTCGCCGTTACAAGGATACTCTGAAGTCCTCCCTGAAGCACCTGCAAATCAACCCGACCAACTGGGAAGAGCTCGCTCGCGATCGTCCGACATGGAGGAGAACAGTGAAGACGGGCGCTGCTATCTATGAAGCCAACCGAATCGCCGCCGCCAAAGCGAAACGTGAAGCCCGCAAATCACAGCTTCGCCCAGTCCGCAACGCCGCCGCACAACCGCTCCCAACGTGTCCTCGATGTCAACGGACATTCCGGGCACGAATCGGACTTGTTGGGCATCTTCGGATCAACTGCACCTCTCGCACTGCTCCAGCCATCGTTCCCCCGCCCGCCTCTTCCTCGTCCTCTCTTCCGCCAACTAACTCTGACACTCCTTCTGCACCACCACTTCC